CAGTTTTTGGCCAGGGCTGGGTTTGAACCCACCACCTCCAGCGTATGGGGCTGGTGCCCTACTCCTTTGAGCCACAGGCACTGCCCTCTTCTTCACCTTTTTATTTCTATTATTTTTTTTTAGTAGAGATAGGAGTTTTCCTCTTACTCAGGTTGCTTTTGAATTCCTGAGATCAAGCAATCCACCCCCCAGCCTCCCAGAGTTCCCCAGCTAGGATTATAGGCATGAGCCACCATGCCCAGCTTTTTGTTTTTTTTTTTTTTTTTGAGGCAGTGTCTTACTTTGTTGCCCTTGGTAGAGTGCCATAGTGCCACAGCTCACAGTAACCTCAAACTCTTGGGCTCAAATGATTCCCTTGCCTCAGCCTCCCAAGTAGCTGGGACTATAGGTACCCACCATACCAGGCTTATTTTTAGAGATGGGGTTTGGTTCTTGCTCAGGCTGGTCTTGAACTCCTGAGCTCAGGCAATCTACCCGCCTCAGCCTTCCAGAGTGCTGGGATTATAGATGTGAGCCACCATGGATGTGGCCTTTTTTTTTTTTTCCAAAGACAGTCTTGATCTGTTGCCCAGGTGGTAGTACAGGGTACATTCTTAGCTCATTGTAACCTTGAACTCCAGCACTCAAGATATCCTCTTGGCTCAGCCACCTGAGTAGCTAGGTCTACAGGTACACACCACCATGCCTGGCTAATTAAAAAAAAAAAAAAAAAAAACATTGGTAGAGATGGGGTCTTGCTTTGTTGCCCAGGCTGTCCATCCTTTACCTTGAAGCTGAGGTTTTTCTCTCAGATCTCAAGTACTCAGTTTGCATTGTGGGTAGTCTATACTTTAATGGAAGTGATACTGTCTAGCTCAGGGAGGCCCAAAATGCCGACTTTGCTTCTCCACTGACTTCCATGGTAACCCAAGAGCAGTTCCCATAGGATGAAAGCTATCTGAAACTAGAGTTCAGATCTTTGGTTGTGGAAGCTGGTTGAGGATGAACTCTGATTAGGCACTTGGCATGAGTTTTGCCACTAGAACCACTTGTTTTGAATGTTTCAGCCCTCTAGAGTTGTCCTTGTGTTGTGGCCACCACCTTTCTCTGACTTTAGGGATTTTTCTTAAACTCTGGGGAGCCCATGTTTTTCACTTCCTAGAATTGATCTTCCTACTCTCCTTTTCTCACCAAAACTTTCCAGTACACAATAGAACAGGAGTGGGATATATTGGAGCACATTACTTTTTTATTTTTTAGAGACAGAGTTTCACTTTATCACCCTGTGCCATGGCATCACAGCTCACAGCAACCTCCAACTCTTGGGCTTAGGCGATTCTCTTGCCTCAGCCTCCCGAGTAGCTGGGACTACAGGCACCCGCCACAACACCCAGCTATTTTTTGTTGTAGTTTGGCCAGGGCTGGGTTTGAGCCTGATACCCTCAGTATATGGGACTGGCGCCCTATCCGCTGAGCCACAGGCACCACCCTGGAGAAAATTACATTCCCAGTAATTGTCTAAATTACATTCCCATATATTGTCTAATATATGACATTTCCTAAAGGTGAGCTCCTGATTTTGATTCTATACAGTTTTTATTCTCTTTTTTTGAGACCGAGTTTTATTTTGTTGCTCCTCGGTAGAGTGCCATGGCATCACAGCTCACAGCAACCTCCAACTCTTGGGCTTCAGTGGTTCTCTTGCCTCAGCCTCCCAAGTAGCTGGGACTACAGGCACCTGCCACAACAGCTGGCTCTTTTTAGAGACAGGGTCTCACTTTTGCTCAGGCTGGTCTTGAACTCATGAGCTCAGGCAATACATCTACTTTGGCCTCCCAGAGTTCTAGGATTATAGGCATGAGTCACCGTGCTTGGCATTCTGTACAGTTTTTACATTAATAAGTTTATTTTTTTTGAAATCCTAGGCAGTGGATACACTTAACATGAGGACCACATGGACATTAACTTGTCCTCATTTGTTTCCCTTTGTATCTTATGTCTATTCCCAGAGTGATGCTGTGTCCCCTTGAACAGACTGTGAGTTTTCTGGGAGTCTATGTGATCTGTCACTTCTCTCCCTTCATTGTCTAGGGCTGAGGTTGTGGTTTATACTCTAGGGTTGAAAACATGGGATCAGCTGTGTTCTCTACCTTGTTTTTCTCCAGATTTTAGGGAAACTAGTTAGTTTTCAGGCAGTTCTTTTCTGTCTCTCTCAGTGAGTTATCCAGTAACCAAAGAAGACTCTGACCTTTGGCCTGTTCCTGACTTTTTAACTCCTTTCACTGGGGGAAGTAGAGGTGGTAAGGAGTGCCCTATGGTGTGAAGACCCCACTTGCCCTCTTCCCTACACTTTCTTTTAAAGCAGACTGGAGAAAATACTATAGAAATGGAGCTAATGCTGGCCAGGAGAGCTCAGAGGGTCCAGCAGGGAACCCAGAAATGAGATGAGTCAGCTGGTAAATGGTGATAAGCACCCTGCTGAGGATGAAAGGCAAAGGTGACACGTCCTCAGCAGGCCCAGGACCATCAAAAATGGAGCACTCCTGGCTCGGCGCCTGTGGCTCAAGTGGCTAAGGCGCCAGCCACATACACCTAAGGTGGCGGGTTCGAATCCCCAGCCCGGGCCCACCAAACAGCAATGATGGCTGCAACCAAAAAATGGCCAGGCATTGTGGCAGGCGCCTGTAGTCTCAGCTATTTGGGAGGCTGAGGCAGGAGACTTGCTTGAGCCCAGGAGTTGGAGATTGCTGTGAGCGTGATGCAATGGCACTCTACCCAGGGGGATAGCTTGAGGCTCTGTCTCAAAAGAAAAAAAAAAATGGAGCACTCCTTTTCAGTTTCTGGGAACCTTCTAAATGTTATATACCATTACCCTACTTAAAAGACCCTGCATCCTGCTAGGGATTTGATTTACACATAGCATCCTGAGCTCTGCCTGGGTGAGGCAAACAGGGGGAATGGTACTTGGCCAGGATGGTGACACTAGGACCCAAGCCCAAGTAGAGACCAAGAGTCAGGCTAGAAGATCCTTTAAGCTGGGGGTAGGGAGCTGCGGGGGGCCAGGGGAATCGATGGTGAATAGTGATTCTGGAGGAGGGAACTTGGGTTGGGAAGGCCTAGTCATGGACAGAGAAGAGGGCAGTACCTGATCTATGAGGAAGACTCAGGTGGGCACTGGCAGAGCCAGGTTAGGCAAAGTGTGAGCTTTGGGGAAGTGAGTGTCCAGGATAAAGCCCAGAATGTGGCTTTAGAACTTAGTCAGTAGGGGAAAATGCAAACTTCTGACTTCCTTCCTCAAATCCCTTTAATCTGCTCAAATCTCAGGTCTTTAGTCACAATGGAGGACAAACGCAACATCCAGATCATAGAGTGGGAACACCTGGACAAAAAGAAGTTCTACGTGCTGGGTGTGGCAATGACAATGATGATCCGAGTCAGCGTATATCCGTTCACTCTCATCCGCACACGGCTGCAGGTTCAGAAGGGCAAAAGCCTCTACCAAGGGACCTTTGATGCCTTTATCAAGATCCTGCGAGCAGACGGTGTGACTGGCCTCTACCGGGGATTCCTGGTCAACACCTTCACCCTCATCTCTGGCCAGTGCTATGTCACCACGTATGAACTCACCCGGAAGTTTGTAGCTGACTATAGCCAGAGCAACACAGTCAAATCTCTGGTGGCTGGTGGCTCAGCTTCCCTTGTGGCCCAGAGTATCACAGTACCCATTGATGTTGTCTCTCAGCACCTGATGATGCAGCGCAAGGGTGAAAAAATGGGCCGCTTCCACGTGCAGGGGAACCCAGAAGGACAAGGGGTAGTTGCCTTTGGCCAAACCAAGGATATCATCAAACAGATCCTGCGGGCTGATGGGCTTCGCGGCTTCTACCGAGGTTATGTAGCTTCACTGCTTACCTATATCCCAAACAGTGCTGTCTGGTGGCCCTTCTATCACTTCTATGCAGGTAAGCGGGGCCAGGAGAATGGGAGAGAGGGTGGGGTTACTAATGAGGCTGAGACACTGTTGCTCTATACATGTTGGAATGGAGGTAAGACTTGTGGAGGGGGGAATGGGTCATTCATTCAGCAAATATTTGAATCGAAGAGGATTCAAAGATGAATAAGACATGGTTCTTCCCTTCAAAGATCTTAAAAAACACAGTGGACAAGTGAAATAGATGATAGAGCAATTGAAGCAATTCATCCTCCATGGCCTCCCAGAATGCTAGTATTATACATGTGAGCCACATGCCCAGCCTGTTCATATAGTATTTAAATATTTCCCAGAATGAGATTACTAGATCAAAAGAGAATATTTTTGCAGGCTTCCATAGACATGGTGCCACTTACCTACTGAAAGGCAGAGTACATTGTGAAGAGCAGGACTTGTGTGCACCTGCTACCCTGGAACATCCATCCACAGCTTTTGAGTAACTGCCAGGCTCCCATTAGGAAGGTGATGGTTTCAGCATCCTAATCCTTGCTGCTGGTGCTTATCCCTTGGTAGTGGGCATTATGTTCTGTCCTATCTGAAATTTTTCTCTTTCTTTTTTTCTTATTTTTATCACATCTGAGCTGACAGTACCCATTTGGAACTTTTCTGTCCAACATTTTTTTTTTTTTCTGTAGAGATGGAGTTTCACTTATAGCCCTCCGTAGAGTGCTGTGATGTCACAGCTCACAGAAACCTCTAACTCCTGGGCTTAGGTGATTCTGATTCTCTTGCCTCAGCCTCCCAAGTAGCTGTGACTACAGGCACCTGCCACAACACCCTGGCTATTTTTTTGTTGCAGTTTGGCCAGGGCTGGGTTTGAACCCACCACCCTCAGTATATGGGGCTGGCACCCTACTCACTGAGCCACAGGTGCTGCCAACATTTTTTTTTTGAGACAGAGTTTTACTTCGTTGCCCTTGGTAGACAAGGCGTCATAACTCACAGCAACCCCAAACTCTTGGGCTCAAGCAGTTCTCTTTCCTCAGCCTCCCAAGTAGCTGGGACTACAGATGCCCACCACAACACCTGGCTATTTTTAGAGACAAGGTCTCGCTCTGGTGTAGGCTGGTCTAAAACCTGTGAGCTTAGGAAATCCACCCACCTCAGCCTCCCAAAGTGCTAGGATTACGTGTGAGCCACTGCACCCTCCCTTCTATCCAACTTTTATAATGACTTCCTGACCTGTAATCATTGTGTTCTGTG